CTAAATTATGCTGATTGAAAGTGACTGCTTTACATAACCCCTCATAAATAGCATAATTCTAGTTCTAACTTCCTGTCTAACCTTCTAAACTTGTGTTGCTACTGCCATTTTCTCTGTGGCACTGTCATGTTGGTTTCTTGGTGTGTGTGTGTGTGTGTGTGTCTGTGTGTTATAAAAAACCAATTTTAATCTGCTACTTAGTGAGTCACAGTACACAAGAAACTGGTAAGTCCAACAACAACAGGCTCACTATATTATAGAGGCAGATGACAGCAAAGAACAGTTGTTGTTATGGACAAGAATTCCAAATATGTCTTGTCAAACAGTTTGGTGGGCTAAGCTTCAGCCCACCTTTGGCCAGCTGAAATGCCGCTCCAGTAGGGATTCCTTTTCCTTTCTCTGCTATTCCTCCCTATTGCAGGTTTTCTGACAATAGTATTCATTTATACTTGTGAAATATTTGATGCTGCTGAGGGGTGCTGAACATGCTCCTATGGCATCATGTAGAACATGCAGCCTATTAGATGCAATACAGCTCTATTTACAAACAAACCGAGAATATATGGCTAAGGTTTGTTGGCTTGGATGTGAAGCCCAGGGGAAAGACAAGTTGACAGGACTTATACATCAGCTCCAGAAGCCTCTTTCTAGATTAGAAATTAAAATGATCCCAAGTGACAGTCTTCAAATTAAGAAGGAACATGGAGTGACAAGGAAGACAAAATGCCTTCTGAAATTTCAGATGTATTTTTGTGTGTCTGACCCAACCCTTGCAGCAGTTAGTATTCACATTCATATGATATCAAGAAGACAGAACAAGAAAAAATAGTTAGAAAAAGAAAATTTCTCAGCTGCTAGTAAAATTTGTAATTGCCACCTGCCAGGAAACTTGATAGTGAACAACACAATAGTTTTCTATTAAGCACTGAGTACATTAAATTGGCAAGATGGTCAATACAACATGCGTTGTAATTGCTACACATTGTCCAAGATGGGAGACCTCTTGCTGCAAATTATCACATCTCCCTTTGTTATTTTGAAAGCCTAAATGTTAACATCCGAAGAGAGACCCACAATTCTAACAATACAGCCATGCATGGCACTGAGCTAGCATACTTGAGAAATAAACAGCATTAAACTTTTCCATTTGCCATGCACATAACTCTGGTCTGATTCTCTCTCTCCATATGTACACTTGATCATGATAATTTTTAGTCATGCATTTCCCACCCTCTCAACAAATTGGATAAGAATCACACAAACCAGGCTTCCTTGTGTCAGCTGCTCACACAGAGGGCCCAGATTACACTGGAAGGTAGGAACTTTGAGTCTTGTAGACAGATGCGTGTGTCATTCTTCAAGCAAACAATGCCAGTGATCTCCCTGGCTGAATGTATTCCAAAAATGACCAAACAAAAGTATGTGTGTAGATATGTGGTTGATCAGCAGAGAAATCACTTAACATGTCCACCCAACTGCAAGATGTGGATGCATGCAGAACATTCCTGTAAGAGCTGGAACTCATGTACAATGCCCTGAGCTCATTGAAAAAAGGACCCCATGCAAACGTACTACACACATTCAGGGGGCTTTCCGTCTTACTCTGCATTATATACATCATCTTATCAATGACAACCATTAGGGATTTCTCCAGTTACTTGAAAAGTGGATTGCATCTGGCACTGCCACATATCCCAAGCTCTTGAGAAGGGGAGGGATAAAGGACAAAATAAAAATATAGCCAAACAAGCCACATACCCTAAAGTGCTGACTTGTTCACCAAACTTCTGGTCAGCAACTAGTTTCTCTGAGGGCTGCCAGGAGAAAGAAGTGCTGGTAGGAGATGCAGAGCCCCTATCTTCATAGCCTAAATGGACCTGTCAGCAAGTTCTATCATCATAGACACCACTAAGTTGGAATTGTGGGAGGGAGAGCAGGCCGCATCCCTCAAAGGGGGCATATTTGACCTTCAGGTCTCAACCCATAATTTAGGCACAAAAAAGGTTCTGAGTTTGGGGGAAAACAGCGAGTTTGACAACACTGTTGGGTTTTATCAGTAGAAAGCCATGCAGATACATTTTTCTATAACTAAATTTCATGTAAGGTATGTGAGAAGTTATAGCCAAGTTCACCAATATTAAAAAAATGTGGAAGTGCTAAGTAGTTCTAGGCATAATTATCCATTTTTATATAATTGTAGGAAACCTGTGCTTCATAAATATTAATTTGATCTATTGTATGCTTGTGTGGCTGGTTTTCTATAAATGCCAAAAGTGTAGTAATTACCACTCAGAGTATTCGTTATTTATCTGCTTTCCAATTTGAGCAAATGGAAAGGCCATTTAATCATCAAGTTACACAAGGGGGGGGGGGGAAACATACATATAAAATAGGCATGGCAATTGCTCTCTGAGGCCCACTCAACCCTTTAATGTTTCTAGCTCATTGTACGCCCTCACTAAATAAAATCTTTGGTGTGCATTTTGAGAGTTGGAAGCAGAAATGAGGTTCCAAAAGTTTCGCAATCTTGGGTGAACTTTAACAGGCGCTTCCAACCTAAGCTGTATATGACCAGGCAAGAATGGAATTACAAAACAAATAAATAAAAAATAAGATGCGGCAAAATATCCTAGCTATGTATGTGTATTTATTTATTGACTAAAAAAAAATCTATATCACTAACACTGAGAAAAGTATAATGGTTCAAATTCTGATAGGGATAAAAATGCCCTTCTGCTCATGTCCCCCCATCACACACTGTATGACAGGATTAAGGAACCAGATCAAATGTGGTCAACACTCTACAGGCCGCATTTGACAGGACACATGTCTGTCAATCACCTGGTGTCACATCAGGTAGATTTGACTCCCGGCTGATGCAGCGTGGCTAAATGTTAACAGCATCGGAGCAAACTGCAGTTGCAAAGGAACAATTGGGAGCATTAGAACGTGCTCCCAGCTGTTCCTTTGCAGGGCTGGCTTGTATTCTGCAAGCACATTTTAAGATTCCTGATTGTTCCTTTCCTGTGGCACTTTTACCTGTCCCTCACACGACACCAGGTGATCAACCTGCGAGCATGATCCACAAAACAGCTTCAAAGGCCTGGCATTCCTAATTAGCTCACAGATTAGCTGTTCACCATTCATGCTGCGTTAGTACCTAGTGACATGCTCATGCAAAAAGAACTCTACACTGGAGTCCAATCTGAATGCCTCTTTGCAATAGGCAAGTCCCCATATGCATACAGCAGAAAGCCGCAGTACAGATACACATTGCACAGCACTTTAGAGAGTTTGTGTTTGTAGCTTTATCTCCTCTCCTCTCTTTAGCAGCAAAGACAGAGAGGGCCAGAATCCCTTACTTCTCTCTCTCTCTCTCTCTCTCTCTCTCTCTCTGACACACACACACACACAGAGAGAGAGAGAGAGAGAGAGAGAGAGAGAGCAAAGCCTCTCTTGCAGTGCAAATATATGGGATGAGTGTACATGGGGAGTAGACCTGCAATTTATTAAGAACATTGGCAAACCTCAGTGCATTTAAATTCCCTGTATTTCTCGTTTCAAGGTATTCTAAGCATGTGAACAAGACTTCACTGATTGCTATACAATTTCCAGAGGCAGCTTTCACCCCATGCCATATTGATAACTCTGGCCATGAACCATTAGCATGAGCATGTGCCAGCTCTTCAAGCTTGCTGGCTATAACTTGTTCAGCAGGTGCTCCCATTGACACCTCCTTCCCCACAAGCCATTTGTTTCAAATTCCTCTGATTTATTCATTTTTCATTTAAAGTAGCTTGATGCTCGGCACGGAGAATGGCTAACCAGGAAAAGGCCACCAAAACGCAGGTGCACTCAATGGATTATGGTTTGTATAACAATTTTATACTGAAATTTGCAGCTAATCCAAAACTAGTCCCCTTGTTCCTTTTCCTTTCTACTTCCACTTTTTTATTATTTTGGAAAGCAAAAGGCACCTCTGTTTCCTAGCACAATTTAGCACTTGTCCTGAACACATTTCTTTTGTTTCATTGTTGTGCTTCTCAGTGCAGAGAGATGTCATTATAATAATAATAATAATAATAATTTATTACGGCCGTAGGCCCATACAGATAAAAACAAGACATAAATAACAGCCTGTGCACATGG